CTCGAATCATTAAGCTCTTTAATTCCCAAATCTCATGAAAAACTAATTGAAAGAAATATGACTCGTTTGCGGTAAAATTTGGTGATTAAAAGCAATGTCAAAGTAAGGCAAACTCGTCATGTTCAACCTTGATAATACGGAAACATAACACAAGGTACGTGCAATTTCTTTTGGGAAGGAAAAAAGAACAAGGATAATTTGGTTACAACTGGATAAATATGCTTCTCATTGATCGCCGAACCAGTGTGCTAGTAGAATATGGTTTGAAACTTAACCATGATGCAGATTGTTACTACTGTGTTATTGGCCTCTTATTTTCTATTATCAAATATGTTTCTGATATGGTTGAAAATATTTGGAGCCTAACTTTCATTGTGCATCTGCGGCCACACTAAAGGGTGGCAGATTCCAAGCCCGATTTTTTCAGTTTTCATTTTTATTGTATAATTAAGAAAATTGAAGACGGAAATCTTTGCGAAATTTGCCTCCAAAATTTCGAAATAACTGCTATCTTTGCATTAGCATTGCATCAGTTCTTTCCTAATTCGGATTTTGAATGTCGATGAAAGGAGGAGAGGAACCCGTCGGTTTCATTTTGATTAAGGGCACTGCTACTACGTTATATTAAACGAATTCTGAACAGGACGAGGATAGTTTCCTTAAGAGTACTTTTCATACAGTAAAACTTCTAATCTGAGGGCTAAGAAATATAGACTTAATAATCTATTTTTGTTACGAGAATTCGTCGAGATGCAAAACGTGACATGAACTGACAGATTGACTTCCGTTGTGTCCTTTAGAGCTCAGAAATCAAATTTCAGATATACAAGATAGAATTTCTTGATTTATAAGATAAAAGTTTTCTTTTCGTTTAACGCTGACTCTAAGATACATCCCAAGTAACCTTGCTTTATGAGATGGGGTGCATTCGGTTGCAAGGTTGCAGAGAAAACGTTTAGGAACAGCAATAATATAAGGGGTGTGTAAAACTGCTCTTATATGAAAAAGCAATAACTTTTAATGATGTAACTTGCTGGTCTGAGCCTTATACGAGTTTTTTAGGTTTTTTCTTATCTTGGATCGATATCATTTCTCTATAATTACTATATGTTCCAAGCTGAAAAAACCATGAGTCATAGACTCGTCCTAAACATAGCATCACTAAAAGCTTTCTCGGCAACAAGATTTGATTGCAACTTGGTACCCTGGCCTGGAAACAAAACCTATTACAAGCACTGGGCAATGGTCCTTGAAAAGCCTGGCTGTTATCAAGGAAACGATCGAATGATTTTTCTTAGTCCTACCGTTTATGCAATACTTTAATCAGAATCTTAACACTTGTTACCATGAATTTTCCATTTAATAGTTCTGCTTTTCAAATCCTTCATGGGAAGGTGGGAAAACACCATCAAGCAAGATCTATACGTTTAATCTAAACATTATATGCTTGACTGAAAGATGTACGCTATTGGAAATGAGTCACTTTGTTTTTCACAATGATACATTATCATTTGCGTAAGGTTTGCTTGAGGCAAGACCATACTGTTGTTGATATAACCAGGGATCAGTTAGGGCTGGTATCAAAAACAGTTTCGCTTTCGAACTTCTGGCCAAAGCGCAGAGTTTCTTGTTGTTCCTTTAATATACTTTTCTGATAATAACAGGTAAGCAAACAGAATGTTTTATTTTATGTATAACGAGCCGTATAGCATCCGCGCTGACAATTGTTTAGGTTTCCAGTATCTTCCATGTTACTGAGTATTTGTTTTCTTTTCAGTC